TCATTTTCTGAAAAAAAGAAAAAAATTATAGTTATAGTTATAGCACACCAAGGTGACTGGCTTCTGTGTGATGACTATAATTGTGATGAAGTTTTGTCTCTGACGGTGATGATGGTGAAATATAGTGATGAATGTTTTGGATTTTGATATTTTTCTTGTTTTTCATATATATATATTTCCTCAACGGAACAATGTTGGGCACGCATTATAAAAGAAACAAAACACAATACCAATAGCTGTTACTACTACAAAAAAAATGATAGTAGGTATAGTGACAATCGCACAATCAGAGAAATTATAGTGTTTTAGAAAATTACTCGCAAAGCAGAGGGACGCAATGTGGTGATAGTGACTTCCACGGGAGATGGGAGAGGAGGAAAAAGAGAAGAAGACGTAGAAGAAGAGGAGAAAGAAGAAGAGGAGGATGAAAAAGAGAAGAAGAAGAAAAAGAAAAAGAAGAAGAAGAAGAGGAGGAGGAAGAGGAGGAGGAGGAAGAAGAAGAGGAGGAGGAAAAAGAGAAGTTAAGAAGAAGAAGACGAAGAAGAAGAAGAAGAAGAAGAAGAAATATCAAGTAGATGATATAAGATAATAAGAAAAAAAGAAGATGGAAAAGGAGGAGAAGAATAAAGAAGAAGTAGAAAAAAAGAAGGAGAAAGAAGAAGAAAAGGAAACAAAAAAAGAAAGAAGAGGCGAATGATGAGAAGGAGAAGGGGGAAGAGGGAGGAAGAAAAAGAAGAAGAGAAGAATCATAAGAAAAAGAAAGAAGTGGGTAGAGAAGGAAACGAAGAAGAAGGATAAGGAGATGAAAATGAAGGAACTGGAGGAGGAGAAGAAGAAAAAATAATAAAAACAATAGAAATAGTTATGATTATGGTAATGATAATAATAATGATAGTGAATATAATAACGATAATGATAATAATAAGAGTGATATTGATAAAAAATAATGATAATGATAATGATAATGATAACAGAAATAATAATGATAATAGTAATAATAATTATCATTACAATAATGATAATAATAATGATAATAATAATAATAATAATAATAATAATAATAATAACAATAATAATAATAATGATAATAATGACAACAATGATGATAATAGTAATGATAACAATAATAAATAATAATAATAATAATAATAATAATGATAATAATAATAATAGAAGAGTAATAATAACAATAACAATAATAGTAATTATTGTTATTGTCCTTATTATCATGATTATTATTATTATTATGATTATTATTATTATCATTATTATTATTATTATTATTATTATTATTATTATCATCATCATCAGCATTATCATCATTATTACAAAGAAAATAATCCCAACACCACCAACAATAACAATCCCAAAGATAATAATAATAGTAATAATAATAATAATAATAATAATAATAATACCCCCCCACCCCCCCCACCCCCCACCCCACCCCCCACCCCAACCCACCCACCCCCCCCCCCAAAAAAAAAAAAAAAAAAAAAAAAACAATAATAATAGCACAAGTTTTAATCATCTGAACAATTAGACTTGTGGAGTGGCTGCATAGTTGTACAGGATCACTTTCTGTATCTGCATTGAAGTCACGCACAGACATCAGCCAGCTCTTGGAGTTTACTTTGTTTGTTTTTTTGTTTTGTTTTTTTTACGTGTGGTTTCTGGCCAGGGAGAGTCAAAGGTATATGATGAAAGTTTAAGATGAGGGTAAGAGTGAATAGGAGGAGGGGAGGGAGGGTGGGTAGGGAGGTGGGAGGGAGGAGGAGGTGGAGGGGGGAAGGGGGTGGAGGAGGTGGGGGGAAGGGGGAAGGGGGAAGGGGAGGAGGAAGAGGAGAAGGAGGAGGAGGAGGTGGAAGAGGAGCTGGAAGAGGAGGAGGTGAGTGAGGAGGAGGAGTAGGGGGGGAGGAGAAGGTAGAGGAGGAGGAAAAGGAAGAAGAGGTGGAGGAGGTAGGAGGTGAAGAGAAAAGAAAAACATAAAAATAAGAAGGAAAACGAAAAAGAGAAGAAGACATTTTAAAAAAAGACGAAAGAGCAGAAGAAGAAGAAAAAAAAGGAAGAAGCCGAAGGAGAAGAAGAAGAAAAAAGAATAACAAATAAATACGATAATGATTATAATGATAAGGACAGAATAAGTCTATTAAATAATCTGTCTAACGATTATTGTTCGACTTTGTATTGTTTTAATATTTATTTTCTTTCTTACATTTTTTTTCTTTTTCTTTATTATTACTTATTTTTATTATTATTAGGAAGATAACTGCTGGTATTATCAGTGTTTATCGGTTGTTGTTGCAAAGGATAATCTATATCATGATATTAATATTCTTTTCATTTCATGGTGTTATTATCATTATCTTCCTTATCATTATTATTGTGATTAGTGTTATTGTCTTTTGATTAAGGTTAATCTATATCTGATAATTAATGTTTAAAATGATTATCATTATTGTTATATTAGTATTAGTCTTATATGTTGTTACTATCAGTAATGGTATTATTATTGTTCTTATCCATTATTATTATCATCTTTATCAGATTATCGTTATCATTGTCTTTGTCATTATAATAAATTATATTGTTATCATATTGTTATTATCATCATTATCATTTTATCATAACCTTCTCGTCATTACCATCGTCATTATCATCATTTTTCTCATCATCATTATCGTGACGTCATCTTCATTATTATCGTTATCATGACGTCATCTTCATCATTATCACTATCATGACGTCATCATCATTATCATTACTAGCAGATATATCATTATCATTCCACCTAATATAACTCTCATATTAATAATCATCATTTAATTATAATTTTCATATTAATTCATCTGTTTTCAATCGTTCATTTAAGACCATCACAAACATCAAACATCTTAATACCGATGTTTATTCTGTAATATCAAAATAGAAATAAGATCTTCTCACTCTGGTTAACAAGGTCAGTTGTCACGATGATAATGAACGATTATTAAAATTCCTTAGAAAAAAAAAAATTGATGCCAATTATGACCCGAAAATGGAATAACGAATTTTCATCTAATAACACTCGTAACGCTTCATACGGACTATAACAGGAGCTAAACGTTAACCCTTTTTTTTAAATATATATGGAATGGTATAATAATCTAGAAATAAGGTACAAGCTGATATAATTTGATGGAAAATAAGCATCTTCGAACGCCCGTGAGTTTCAAATGTTCTGTACCCATGACAACGTGTAGTTAAAGGACCCAGAATATAAAATTGGTATTAGGAAAGGCATTCGAAAAGCTACAGTACATAAACCTACAAAATTCTGTAATTACAGATATTACGCTAAACACTGCCGTTTTCGGTAACTATAACTAAGCGCCGCTTATATCAACTAAGGTGTTTATTTTTTATCGACATGTTTGATTAGGGAATTAAGGAGTGCACAATAACTGCCTTTTTTCATTGTTTTTTCTCACTGGTTCGTTTATGTATCTATCATTATCAATATGGCTTTTATTTCTTATTATCTTTTTCGTTTTTTTTTTCCTTCGCGCAAACCTACAATTGCTATAGAGAGAACCGACTCCTCGATAATCACTTGTCTTTACATATTGCATCCCTTAAGTACATGATGCTTAACCGCCTGCCAGTTTTCCTTCGTAAATAAGGATCAAAACAGGAAGGCATAACTCATAATTATCGCCCTTACAGGTGTTCGAATTATGGCGTGAAGGAGTCGATGCTTCGCTGTTACGCTTGATTAAGTCTCTTTTGTTACCAAATCGATACGAAAAGAGATAAAAGCAATATGAAGAGAGGTGAAAGAAAGGAATAAAAGGAGGGAGAAAGAGTTGATAATTGCACAGAGCAAGTGAAATGAGAAAAGATAATAGAGAAGAGTTGTTCTGTGTGGTTTCAATGTGGTAGGAATTGTGGTTATATTACGCGGTGATTTTAATGTTTGCAATTGCGATAATAAGGAATGAATCATGCACATCAAGAGTAAATAAATTCAATTACATTTAACACCGCTTTAGGTTTTTGTTTTGTTATTTATGACTCCAATATTAGCGATGGTATGAGCGGGCATTAGGACATTTTAAATGTGTTTATGCTTATGACAGTAATAACTAAATCATGATGTATTTAGAGCGCGAAAAATAAACAAAGAAAATTAAGATGCCTTAGGATAATTGTTAAGAGGAGAGAAGATAAACAGAGGGAGAGGGAGAAGCTGGAAGAGAGAAGATAGACACAGAGAGACCGATAGAGGGGAATGGAGAAAAAGGAGAGAGAGAGAGAGAGAGAGAGAAACAGAGTGAGAAAAGGAGGAGAGAAAGAGGGAGAGGGAGAGGGAGAAAGAGGAAAGAAAGAGAGAGGGAGGGAGAAAGAGAGGGAGAGAGAGAGAGAGACAGAGCGAGAGAGGGAGAAAGAGAGACAGAGAGAGAAAGAGAGAGAGAGAGAGAGGAAGGGAGAAAGGGAGAGAGGGAGGGTGAGGAGACAGAGGCCTAAATCCCTCCTTCCCTTCCTTCCACTGTGTCTCCCACACCCTTTCCCCTCCGCCCCACCCCCCCCTTTATCATTTCCCTCTTACCCCCGGCTTCTTTTCCCTCCCTCCTCCTTTAACCTGTCTCCTTCCCTCTCTCCCTTCTCATCCCTTACCCATCTCCCACCTCCCTTCCCCCCTCCTCTCCCTTTCCTACCCTCCCTTATATCTCCCTCCTTTCTCTATTACCCCCACCTCTCCTCCACCCCTCCCTCCCTCCCCGCTTCCTCTATACCACCTCTTCCTCCCTCTCCCCCCCCTCTCTTCCCCTCCTCTTCCCCCTCTCTCCCTCCCCGCTTTCCTCTCTCCCCTCCTCTTCCCCCCTCTCTCCCTCCTCCCTTCACCCATCTTTCCCTCTCCCCCTCTCCACCCCTTCCTCCGCCTCCCCCTCCTCCCCTCCCCTCCCCTCACCCTCAGGACACCCGAGAGAAAAAATAGTTAAATAAATAATTATGAAAACCCAGGACGGCAGACGCCACGAGGAATGCCCCGAGAGCTCCTGTGGTAGCGCTGGCAGTGGCGGTGTTGTGGTTGTGTTGTGGTTGTGGATGTGGCTATGTTGCGGTTGTGGTTGTGGTTGTTTTGTGGTTGTGTTGTGGGTCTTGTTGTGGATGTGGATGTGTTGTGGTTGTGGATACGCGGTTGTGGTTGTGGGTATATTGTGGTTCTTGTTGGGGTTGTGGTTGTTTTGTGGTTGTGGATACGTGGCTGTGTTGTGGTTGTGGCAGTGTTGTGATTCTTGCTTCGGTTGTGGATAGGCTGTGGCCGTGTTGTGGCTTTTGCTGTGGTTATTTTTTTACCGTAGCTTTGACTGCAACATCACTGGATTGTATTTTTTTGTTGTGGCTATGCTCTGACTGTATTGTGGTTTTTGGTGTCACTCTATCATGGCTCTCTCTCTTTCTCTTTCTCTCTCTCTCTCTCTCTCTCTCTCTCTCTCTCTCTCTCTCTCTCTCTCTCTCTCTCTCTCTCTCTCTCTCTCTCACTCCCTCTCTCTCTCTCTCTCTCTCTCTCTCTCTCTCTCTCTCTCTCTCTCTCTCTCTCTCTCTCTCTCTCTCTCTCTCTCTCTCTCTCTCTCTCTCTTTTAAGCGACCGTGTTGTGATTTTAGTTGTAGCGGGTTTTTAGTTTCTGCTGTGCTTATGGTGGTTATGTTATTGATATGTTGTGGCTGTGGTCGTGATGCTCATGTTGATATGTTGTTTCTGGAGCTATGGCACCTAAATAAGTAGTTATGTTGGTATGTTGTTCCTGTGTTTGTGGCAGTTATGTTAGTAGTTATGTTGGTATGTTGTTCCTGTGCTTTGGTTGTGTTCTGTTGTAGTTTAAAATTTATGAAATTTGGTACTAGTACTAATAAAGATTATAATATCAAATATAATCATGATGATAAAAATGATCATATGAGAAAAGGGGTGATGACGATGATGATAAAGTCGTTGTTGTTGTTTTGTCATTGTTTTTTGTAGTAGTAATAATGGTAGTGATAATAACATTATTATTATTATTGTTGTCCAAGTTTTTATAAGTACAAATACCAATATTATTTTATCATCATTATTGCCATCATCATATGAAGATTATTATTATCATTAGCATTTTTGACATTCCTATTCTTATTATTAATGATATTATTTTTGTTATCATAATCATTATTATTGCTATTATCATTATCTTCATTATTATTATGATTGTTGTTATTATTATAATTATTATTATTATCATTATTATTGTTGTTATTATTATTATTATTATTATCAATTTATTATTATCATTATTATTATCATTATTATTATTATTATTATTATAATAACCTTAAACTCACTCTTCCCCCTCGTCCTTCCCCCTCCCTCCCTCCCCCCTCTACCCCCTCCCTCCCAACTCTACGCCCTCCCTCTCGCCCCCCCCCTCCCCCCATCAGCCTCAATCTCACCTCCATTCGAACGAAGGCGAAGATAATGATAATATTTTTTATTACAGTGTGACTAAAAAAATAAAAAATAAAAAAAATAAAAAAAATAAAAATAATTATTATAACAAGATAGAGATTCAATTCATTGCTTGGGTGTGAGTGATTGTCGAAGAGGCATAAGGGGAAATAAGGAGGAGGAGGAAGAAAATGAGGAGGAGGAGGAGGAGGAGGAGGAGGGTGGAGAGGAGGAGGAGGAGGAGGAGAAGGAAGAGGAAGACGAGGAGGAGGAGAAGGAAGATTATGATGATGATGAGGAGGAGGAGGAAGAGGAGGAGGAAGAAGAAGTAGGTGGGGAGGAGGAGGGTGGAGAGGAGGGGGATGAGAGGGGTGGGGAGGAGGAGGAGGAGGAGGAGAAGGAGGGTGGAGAGGAGGGGGATGAGAGGGGTGGGGAGGAGGAGGAGGAGAAGGAGGAGGAGGAGGAGGAGGAGGAGGAGGAGGAAGATTATGATGATGATGAGGAGGAGGAGGAGGAGGAGGAGGAAGAAGAAGTAGGTGGGGAGGAGGAGGGTGGAGAGGAGGGGGATGAGAGGGGTGGGGAGGAGGAGGAGGAGGAGGAGAAGGAGGGTGGAGAGGAGGGGGATGAGAGGGGTGGGGAGGAGGAGGAGGAGAAGGAGGAGGAGGAGGAGGAGGAGATGGAGGAGGATGAGTATGATGATGATGAGGAGGAGGAGGAGGAGGAGGAGGAAGAAGAAGTAGGTGGGGAGGAGGAGGGTGGAGAGGAGGGGGATGAGAGGGGTGGGGAGGAGGAGGAGGAGGAGGAGAAGGAGGGTGGAGAGGAGGGGGATGAGAGGGGTGGGGAGGAGGAGGAGGAGGAGGAGAAGGAGGGTGGAGAGGAGGGGGATGAGGTGGAGTAGGAGGGGGGAGGAGGAGGAGGAGGAGGAGGAGGAGGGTGGAGAGGAGGGGGATGAGGTGGAGTAGGAGGGGGGGAGGGGGGAGGAGGAGGGGGAGGGGGAGGAGGAAGATGGAGTAGGAGGACAGGAGAAGGAGGAG